AAGCAACAACCTACCGTGGGAGAGAACAAATCAGATCCCAGTGGAGGAAGAAATCAGGAAGAAGCACTGGAAGTGGATAGGACACACATTGAGGAAAGCACCGAACTGCGTCACAAGACAAGCCCTCATATGGAATCCTCAAGGTCGAAGGAGGAGAGGAAGACCAAAGAATACATTACGCCGAGAAATGGAGATAGATATGAGAAAAATGAACAAGAATTGGATGGAACTAGAAAAGAAGGCCCAGGACAGAGTGGGTTGGAGAATGCTGGTCGGCGGCCTATGCTCCATTGGGAGTAACAGGCGTAAGTAAGTAAGTAAGTAATATTCTCAAGGTCATTTAAAATTCGTTCAAAGGTCGTCCCTAAATTAGAGTCTCGCCACTTGTATTTGATTCAAGCTATTCATATAAATAAGAAAATAATATTCCGTTGAGTTAGTTCCAATTGATAATGTACATACAATAATTACTGTAATTTATTCCCCAAATACTGCTTTATATGATCACATTCAATCCGCATCGTTTGTATGAGGTCTAGTCTTCCAAAGTTTCAGCCAGTCATTCAGTCAGATACAACGTAGAACCTGACGTATATTCCTATCGGTTCAAGTTGCTATGCCTCATTAACACACGGAGATAAAATTGTCAGACAAAATCCCAGAATAGTATAGGTAGTAACAGTATCAGTGGTGATATGAATTAAAAGCAAAAAAATATTATGAGGAATTTAGAATCTTACAATTTGGAGGAAGACAAAATGTGGATGCACCTGTACTATTAAAATGGTTTTGAAGTACGTCGTTCAAAGTCTCCAACCATAGGTTATGATAATTACGCGGACCCCAACTAGGTAGTTTCTACCTATTAACATGGCTAAATTCAGTTGTCAGTGACTTCATGGACTGGTGCCATGTTTCGGTTCTGCCGCCTTTAGCTTTCTTCCAGCCCGTTTCCGAACCAGAAAACATCACCCATCTATGCAGGTGGTGGTTAGACATACGTAACACATGTGCCTACCATCTCTGTTGAAGAAGATTTACAATCTCATCAACTGATTTCTCATCTTTACCTAGTACTCCATTCCTAACCTAGTCATTGCTTAGCCCGTGGTCTCAAAATACACGAGCAATGTTTCATAGACACCTATAATCTAATACCAGTGACCTACGAATACCCTCTATTCTCGATGACTATATTTCACATCCATGAAGTAATGTGGAGCAAACTACTGAATAACAAAGTTGCTCTTTGGCTGGAAGATGGATATCTTGCCTACTCCATAAGTGACTCACGTTGGCAAAACTCAATCAAGCCTTCTTTATCCGTACCGAGGTTTCGTCAGAAACCAAGAAACCAGGACTGATGAAACTTACGAGAAAAGTGAAGTGGTCGATGCATTCAACTACTTCACCCTCTACCAATAATTCAAGAGAAGACGCGACTGGCTCCTAAAGAAACGTTTTATATGCTTTCATTGTTGTTTGTCAAATGACTGTTGTTGTCAAATGTCTTCACGAAACAGAACAATATAATCTGCATATTCTAAGCAAACAAATGAATCTCCTGGTAGAAGATTAGTCCCTAAAAAATTAAACGATGAAAGTTTTATCTCTAAAAGCCTGTCAATGACAAATTCTATTTAAGTAAAAAAGGTCCAAGCCTACAGTACCTATTACTTGAATGGCAGGTGCTTTTATCCCAAAGCCTATAGCGTAGTAATGTTTAATTTTCAAAATAAATATAAATTATGATATTTGATTTGTGAAAGGATGAATTTAGAGTTCAAATATCCTTGTGTATTTTTTTTATATGTATTATAATATGAAGCTAGACCAAGTATAATACAAAAATGAACGTTTGTTACAATAATCAATATCTAATTTTTCTATCTTTCTAAATAGTAACTTATAAACATTACACTCATACACTTAGAAATTTTAGTTCATATACTTTAACCACAAACAGATGTACATATTAATAAAATTTACTAACAGTTTACTAAGAGCTTTTGCCAACTTGCGTCATTTATGGTGTTGGCAAGATATCTGTCTACCAACCAAAGGACGTGTTTACTGCGCAGTTAGTTCCGTCCTACTTTATGGCAGTGAAACATGGCTGGTAAGAGTAGAGGATATTCGTAGGTTACTAGTATTCGGTCATAGGTGTCTTCGAAGCATTAGACCACCGAGTAAGTAATGCAGTTGTTAGGGAACGGGTACTAGGTAAGGATGGCAAATCAATTGATGAAGTAGTGAAACCTAATCAGTTGAAATGGCTGAGACACGTGTTACGTATGCCCAACCACCGACTGCCCCGACGTGCAATGTTTTATGGTGTAGGAGTAGGTTGAAAAAAAGCTAGGGGCAGCCAAATGAAAACATGGCTCAAAATCATCTGCACTGGCGCAGGTGCATTCAATCTTTGTGTTCTCCCAAATTCTAATCTTCTGAATTCTTCATCTCTTTTTTCCTCCTTCCAAATTTATTTCACTGAATTATACTCCTTGAATAACATCTTCAAACCCTAGTCTTTCCGATTACTACTTATACTTTTACTACCTCTACCGTTACGGGATTTGAATAGACAATCGTATCTCTGTGCTATTATTGTATGGCAACTCAAACTGATGTACGTACGTACAAAGTTCTACATTGTCACTGACTGACTAACAATTTTTAACTTCTCGTTGTTGATATTCAAGTCTAAAATGGATCAGTTTTGTTTGGGATACTATTTACAAGAGTATTATTTCCTTTTATTCACGAGTTATAGTTGATTTGCACATCGTGTTTGTAGTACATATGAATGTGGAAAATTTTATTCTATCATAAGTTTCAGAATTGAATAACTCAAACGATTCAACAGGACAAGTTTTGAAATAAAAAAATTACATTATAATGAACTAAATAAAGGCAGTGTTCCCCTAATTTATACTTCCAAATATTAAAATTGTAAGTCGTAAATAATATGTGTCCACCTTTAACGTTTACAAACGGTTCACTGACTCCGTAATTGTATGCGTCATGACATCAAGATGTAACACGATTATCTACGTTGCTAGACGTCCAACTAAGATACTAGCATGACAGGTCAATCGAGACAAGTATTTCAGTTACTTAGACTTATAATGTAGCTCTTAACCCATAAACGATGACCTTGATTACGCACATAACAAAGACATTGTTGATACGAAATTGGGTTGTTGTCAAGGTGATTAGTAGTATAAATGTGAAGAAGCCCCTATTGTATAATATAATATGTGATTTACAATGCCAAAACTGAGCAACCAATTCACAGTTATTTGATCATAACTAATAGTGAAATGACGCGAGTGGATATTGGTGTTTCCATCTTTACAAATTTTTCTGTCACAGAGATAACATGTCTTTTATGTGACAATATTGAGAAAAATAACCTAGACATCTGTATCTCCAAACATTATCGTGAACTAATTATACAACGTACTATCAACATACAATCGAGATTTAAATATGATTTTTGGGGTCGAATTGGAGTTGCAATGGGTTTAACAAAGGGCCTTTTTCTGACTTGTAACTTCATGACCGATCAGAATAAGACAGCATTTCAACCAATAATCGATAACTTACAATTATGCAGGTGATATATGAATGATACGTTCATTATTTATGACAAAACTGTGGACCTCTATGTTACTGTGGATACATTCAATATTTTTCATTGGTCAATTAAATTCACATTAGAAGCATAAGTAAATTAAGTTCACTTTCTTGATATCTTATTGAAGGAAGGTTAGATGGTTCCACATCAAAAATTCATCTTGAATAGTCAGTAATATGAATTCGAAGTCGAAAATCTTAGTAAGACGAATTTCAAATTCCGTGGGAAAAGAATCCTACTCAGCGGAACTTCGTATTGTCTTCTATAGTCTGCTAATCACTCCTGGATGTGTTAAGAATAAAATTATGACCTTGTATAAATTAATGTGCAATTATAGGCTTATTTGGCTCAATGGCCATGTAGTATAGGCCTCACATAACGGGTACTTTACAAATTCGTCTCATAGCAGCGTGTTTATTGAAATGAGAAGACAAACTAATCAGGAACAACTTAACTATGGACATGTCTCATCTACGCGCTCAAACTTGTAGAATTAAAGGAAGATCAAATCAAACGTTTCTCACCAAAAAGACTTGGGCAACTGTAGACTCTACATCCAAATTCAAAAGGTCCAATCTTTCTTCCTACGGCTCTAATACCCCTTATAGTCTGTTTTTTACCCTTTATTATTATTTTTCAATTTTTAACAAGTACTCAGGTACTATTACTATTCTTTTGATACTTGAAATTTTCCAACACTTTATGATCTAATCTCATTTGATTTGTTTATAGACTTATTATTAATACAGTTTTACAACTTGAGTAAATAATATTACCGAAAAATAGAAATTATCTTGATTGAATTTATTTTATTCTTTGCTTGATCTTAATTTATAAACGGTAAAAGATGTACCAATTATTCAGTTAAAATACAGTTTAAGATTAAGACTATGTAGAAGTCTTAAAAAGCGCTACTTATTAAATGGCGTTTTGTTTCCTGAGCTCAGAGAACAAAATTCCATCCAAATCATTCACCCGAACTATAAATCTCCACCATCGCAACTTATTAAACAATATACAACCTTTATTATTAACAACGAGTTAAATAAGTTTCATACTTCTCTTCCATCGTCAAATCCTATCAATGTGTTAATAAGGCAATAAACTCATTTATAATAGGCTAAGTCAATGTGAATTCCATCTTCCAAAACACATTGTCCAGTATGCGGTATAGAACTAATATATTCAATCAATGTGACCATTATATTTCAATAGGTAGGATATATTGATTAGTGAGTGGACAATAATAATGTTCAAGTATTATTTTTAACTTGGTAATAAAAAAGATGAATTAAAACAGCACTTTTTTCTGAAAATAATCTGATGCATTAAAATTTGAATATTCCCGTTTGAATTTTAGGTATCGGATATGGATGCATTTACCTTCCAGCGGCCACGGTAGTCACTTCCTGGTTTGTGAAAAAACGCGCCACTGTAACTGGAATCATAATGGCTGGCAGTGGGATTGGCGGTGTAATCTACAGTTTAGTCGTTCCATCTCTAATTAAAATATATACATGGCGTGGTTGTATTCTATTGTTATCTGGTGTCAATTTACATTGTGCTATAGCCGGTGCTCTATTTCGTCCATTACGTCCAACTGATTATAAGCATGAATACAATGAAAGTGAAGACGTGGAAAACATGTACCCTAATACAACAGCGAACTTTACAACAGATCCACTACTAGTTGAAAATGAAACTGAAGTAAGCCTAATAAAATTTTGAATAGTAGTATTGTAGAATAATAGTATAGTATTGACCATTTTTAAAATGTTAATCACATATTTAACTGTTGAAAGTAGACTGGATTATTAAAATACGTTTAGATTTAAGTCATATTCACTAAGTCTTATCTACATACTTGACTTGAGTTATATACGTCAGGTTCTATGTCGTTTCTGAATGACTGATATTACTATTCATAATACTCTAGTTTAGGTTTGCTTTTTTGGTGTGACGTTACAAAGTATAGCTGATTGAACTAATCCAATTCAACATACATATATTTCTTTTCTATTATGGATCAATAATAAACAGGTTGTATATGCTATGACTAATTTTTCTTCTTAAAAATGTAGCTTTGCATCCTGTATAGTCAAAGAAATTTAGTATTTGGTCATTCAACATATCATGTTGCTTCTTTATATGGAAGTATGTGAAATACACTTCCTAATACTTCGATAACTACCATCAGATATACCCTTGACATAAAAATTTCTTGGATTATCTATTGATTTCACCTCTATCTAAATCACTTCGTGGCTTAGTAATTTAATGTAGAAATAAATTCTCCGTAACAGGAAGTTTATTGAGTCTTGAGTGCTAACTGTTATTTTATGAAATTGTGTTTGTACACCGAGTGTTTGTTATCGTCAATGATCCATATGTGTATATTAATTATGACTGGATTCATCTATACCAACCATGGTATATTTATATAATACATCGTCCAGTCGAGTCCCTACAAAATCTTTTCATTTATTATTAATCCCCTGGTTTTGCACATGAAACGTTTAGTTTTAACAAAACGTTGTTATTGATGTACATAGCATCATTAATAATGATGAAACTGTAATTTTTAAACCTACTAGTACAGATAGAGGTCTTTGAAATCTCTCACCTACCAATCAAGTCATTTCCCGATAATCAATTTTTCATTGATTAATTTCTCATTTTATTAGAGGAGGAAGTCACAAATTATTTTATTTCATATTGTCCTTTATGTTAATCCATAGGACTTTGTAACATTTTTTAAATTTGATGATAATCTAACAAAACAATAGTATCCTTATTGACTATCATTCATTCGAGATATTGTCAGTATATGAAATTTTCTCTTATGGACAATTGACAGTCAATTATATTGGATTAATATACATTATTGACCCATAAGTAGTTTGTTAAGTACTTTATTGATCAATATCAAAATTATAACACATAATTGGAATGTATTAATGATAACTGGTTTTACATACATTTCATTCAAATGATCATCAATTCAATGATTCATTTGAATTTCTTTTTACAATTCATATTTTAATTCTAGGCCTTAACGCGACAAAATACTGAAATAAATGCTACAAGTGAAATAGATCATTCTGTATCTAATATAAATTCAATAAGAAAACCAAAAACTTCAATTATTAAATTACCACCGGAAAAAGGATTAAACTATCCATGTCGTTTAAAACGAACAAGTACAATTGACGAAGGTAAGTCAACATAGTCAGTATGAAGCGAATTCCTTTTTAAAATAAAATTTTTCAAATGGATTGGTCAGTATTTGTGTTAATCAAGTACAATTGTTTTAAAAAGAAACATAGCATACATTATTATAAGAAATCATTCATTTTTTTATTGGCTTTTCTTGTTAACTGAAATGATAAAACTCTTTTTACGCTATGAACTAATTATTACTGATTAATATTCTATAACCTATTAGCTTAATGAATCATCAATTTTTATGGTAACTATAATCATTCATACTTACACGCGGGACTCGAATCCAGAACATTTGGTCTCGTGCGCAAACGCTTAACCTCTAGACAATTGAATTAGGATCCAATGATGTTATTGTATAACTTCAATTGATCCGTGATCTTGCTCAACCCTTCATTCATTGTCTGAGATGGATAACTTTCTCACACTCTACACGGATTGACCTCCACTAGCCACAGTCGTTCAATCTTTCTAGGTTTTCACTGGTGGTTCAGCTTAGTTTGACTCATGAATTCAACTGTGAAAATATTACAATCTCCAAAAATCCCCATATTGATAACTAATAAATTAACTGAAATAAATAATAAGTATCATAGTATAATCTTTTTTTACTTAAAAAAAAGTTCAATTTGAATTCGTTGCATTTTTCAACGGGAAAATAGAAATACAATTTTACAAATTATTCATGTATTATCTTATTGACATATTTATTTATTGTGTAACACGACTTACTTTTACTTACTTATTTACTTACTTACGCCTGTTACTCCCAATGGAACATAGGTCGCCGACCAGCATTCTCTAATCCACTCTGTTTTGGGCCTTCCTTTCCATTTTTTTCCAATTTTTGTTCATTTTTCTCATGTCTGTCTCCATTTCTCGGCGTAATGTGTTCTTTGATCTTCCTCTTTTCCTTTGACCTTGAGGGTTCAGTGCTATGGATTGGCTTGTGACGCAGTTCGGTGCTTTCCTCAATGTGTGTTCTATCCACTACCAGCACATCTTCCTGATTTCTTCCTCCGCTGGCATCTGGTTTGTTCTCTCCTAAAATAGGTTGTTTTGGATACTGTCTGGCTAACGGATTCGAAGTATTTTGAGTAGGCAACTGTTAATAAACACATGTATCTTCTGAATGATGACTTTCATAATTCTCCAGGTTTCCTCCTCATACAGTGAGCCTGTTTCGACATTTGTATTGAAAATTCTGACCTTGGTGTTGGTTGAAAGTTGAGTTCCAGATTTTCTTCAGTTGTAAATATGCTGCTTTTGCTCTGTCGTCTTCACCAGATCCCCCGTGTTCATCAGTGTTGCTGCCCAGATGTGTAAAGGTTTGTAAATCTTCCAAATCTTCTCTGTCAAGCGTGATTCGATTGTTGCATGCTGTGTTGTATCGGAGAATCTTGTTTTTTCCTTTGTGTATGTTGAGACCTACAGCTGCTGAGGCTGATGCTACACTGATTGTCTTCTCTTGCATTTGTTATTGCGTGTGCGATAGAAGAGCAAGATCATCTACGAAGTCTAATATATGAATTTAATAATTAAACAAAACGAAATTAACTACTGTTTAGCTGATTTCTTTTAGGTCTATGACATTTTTTCTTAAACAAAATGCTGCTTTATTTTTACTTCCCTTTTTTTCTGGATTTTTCCCTTATTTCGGTGATGAAATGCTTTTGTTATAAAATAATGACATCGTCTAGGTGAATTTATGCCCGCTACATGTTAACTTTGATAGTACAAGGTTAAAAAAATCAATGACAAGAGGGAATATGGTAACTATGGATTTTTATAGAATAATAAATTTCATTTTGTTCACCACCATAAAGAATTAAACTTATGTAGAATTTACGAATGAGTTACAGTGTAATAGTAATAAGAAAGTTTTCATAGAAAAGAATCCAAATCAATAATGTTTAACAGTAGCTGTTTTGTATTTTATTTAAAAATTGTTTTTTTTTTTCAAGTTAGATTTGTACAGATAATTATTGTATTTTTATAAGTTCAATAATCCAAGATGACATAGGTTATAATCGTTCACAATAGTGCCGATACTTTAAATCAATTATCTTTCTGTCGATTTTGAATTCCAGCATCCCTTCATGCATAACTTTTCACTCTGTCATTTTTTAAAGTATTGTCACTATATATTTTTTGATCTCTTGTTATTAATATTGTTTAGCAATAACGGCTAAGGCATATCTATGCCAGGTTCTACGTTGATGATATATGTGTGTTCATCAATCAAAACAGAAGAATATATGGTTATTTATATCAAACTCACTTTGACGAATGCAATCGTATATTATTTGCGAAACCGAAAAACTCATAGTTTATTAGTTTGATTACCTTAACAACTAATGAATTCTGTATTGTTTTTTGAATCTTTCCATTGATGTTTAGTACTGCAATTGATCAGTCCCTTATTGGCATATGTGCCTCCTGTGCGGATCGCCTTGATATCGCCTTAAGTCACAAATATTGTAAGCAAAGATGGATAATGGCTAGCAGTGGAATCCAGGACTCGCGTTTAGTCCTATTTCGGACTCGTCGGCTGGATGTAGCTACATCCCATTGCACAAGTTATTTTGAAATTACAAAAAATCATAAAAACATGATATATTCAAATCGACCATGTCTTGTAACAACCTACCATTTTATATTATGGCCAAAACAAAACATTACAATATGTCATGTACATCTTCTTTGAATAAGTACAGTATCAAATAAAACATATAGATAGGAATATATTGGTGATATGAATGTGTTAAGTTTAGTTGCAGCTCAGATAATAAAATTTCATTAAAATCATCCACCTGAGCTACAAATCTTCACCATCTGTTACATGTAAACAAACAGTATTTTGTTTAAAAAGAACAATGTAATTCTGTTGACTGAATAGAAATTATGAACTGGTCTTTTTTCTAAATAAAATAAACGAAGTTTTATTTCTTTTTAAACAGAATTTTTTTTTCACTATTGAAATGCAAACACATAATAACTTGTGATTGATAAATCTAATTTTTTAAAAAAAAATATAAACTGAAGAGTCCCATACTAGAATGAAATGGTCGTCCAGTGGTTCCGGGTTTTCCACGGTGGTCTAGTTTTAATTGACTCCTGAATTCAACTATTAAATAACTAAAATCTACACAAAACCCCTTCTAATGATAATATAAACTAGCATTATACTAATGAACTGATAATTTGACTCATTTGTATGGTCACATTTTACAATTTTATTATGGTTTCTTATTATCAAACACCATTAAATTCCAACTATGTGGTTGTATTTAACTTTTTTTTAAAAAATTAATTAAAATGAACGAGTTTATTGAGTGTACAATCTAGTATGTGGTAAAAATAAGTTGACTTCAAACGTTTTGGATGATATTCATCTACCTGACGTTCATAAATAAAATCCAGATTGTTGTATACTACGAAAGTACACAATTTTAATTAGATATATAATTTTAAAATTAATAATATTTAATTATATATAAAACTTCTTTACTATGGAAACCAACGGAATAATTTTAAGCAAAGATTAATGTGACTAACAGTGTAGCGATAAAGAATTGTAGCTGTAATTTTGTATATAATACCTAGCTGTCTTGATTACAAAAAAAACCCAAGCATCATTCATTTCAGTGATAGACTCAAATTATTCGTAAATAATATTCCCTTCTTGATTGCGTATTGAGTACTCAGTACAATGAGAAATGGTAGCACGATTTCGTGGGTTAGTTGAAGTTAGAAATAAACACCGTTGGATGCTGACTCAGTGGTCTAGAGATTAAGCGTTTGCGCGCAAAACTGAAGGCCCTGTGTTTGAATCCCGCTGGAGGGATCGTGGATGCACACTACTGAGGAGTCCCACAATAGGACAAATCGACCGTCCAGTGCTTCTAGGTTTTCAATGGTGGTCTAACATCAGTAATTGCATGATCTCAATCAAAAGCTTAATAATCTCCACAAGTCTATACTAATAATTTTCATTTCATTGTAAAAAAGAAGGACAATATTATGTGGCAAGAGAAGTATCTTTCATTTGATAATCTGTTCTTAAATGAGATTGAATGGGACTAATCTGATGAAATCTTTTGGAGTTTTGTACTGGCATCTTTATAGGTTTCGCAAGAATCACTGTAAATCAGAGAAAATGCATATCTTTATGCTAAAGTATTTACCTTACTTTTAAATTCTTTAACATATAGGTGCAGTGATTACCTACGGAAATCAAATTGTTCCCGGAAATATCCAGAATAATCCTTCTGAAGGTGTACCTGTAATGAGTCTTGAAGCAGTGAATCGTATTGTAGGAGATGTTCTCAATCGTCAAACAATCACATCTTGTACAAGTTTAGCACCTCCAGAATTCACTGCCAAACCTAAATTATCTGTAATTCAGTCACCAAGATCCATTCATTCAAGTTACATACAAACAGAACCCAATGATCCTGCTGTAGCACACAAAAGGGTAATCCATATTATACTTGTATTGGACAAACGCTTTACTATCTCTTCTGTAATTTAGTATGAAACCTATTGTTATTTATTGTAAAGTATAAAATTAAATTTGACAAAATAAAAGATCAAATATGACAGTTCTCGTTATCAAACTAGAAATATAACAGGTAAAGTTTAATTATAGTTATTTCAGAATAATCCTGATTACCGTGTTCATCTAACTGATTGATTTTCTATATGTGGACTTCTAGCACCGACCAAAACTCATAGACGATATTCAACAACGAATACTCAACAAGGACGAGAAGGCTGATACTCTATACTTGATGGTTGGCTTAATACTAACTATCCCCGAACAAAGAGAAAGAACTCTAGATCAATGATCACCAGTCCAAAATCGTTTTCATGTTTTAAACACATAATCTGTTTACATGCAGACCAGATCTCATCACAGCATAAAATAAGAAATGACAATTGTATGTGATTAAGCCAAAAAGTAGCTGAGAATACAAAAGACCGAAAAATAAATTGGTCCAATAAGTTACCATACCCTTAGTCTGAGTTCGAATATGACAAACTCATCTTTTATAAAGATTCACTGTCCTGTGTATTACATTAGACGCGAAGAAAGAGAGAACTTCGGCGAGACTAATTTATGGACGAACCAATCAGGTATAAGATAATAAGTCTCGGACTTTGGCGCGAAATTCACTCATCCATTTGGGTAAATGGAGTTTTGGTATTATAGCTTATGTCAGTTCGTGATGAAAACGCTAAATCTAATTCTTGATCCTAACCATCAACTGCAAATCATAATTTTATTTTCTCACACTCGTTTATGACCCCATTTGGTCCTGGTTATTAGTTGGACGATCTCAAAGTCAATCTGACGTCGCTCAAAGGTCGTCCATAAATAAGTCTCACCAGAATTTCTTTCAATGTCTGCTCATTTAAGAGTTAGGAATTCTCTGAACAAACTGTGAATATGCATAGTTATTTTTAAAATAGTGATTTATAATACCTTTGATATTGGTACTGATTTATTTTTACATAAACATGTGTACAACAGTAGGTTTTTCCATCTCTTCTATCATATTCATAATTTCGAGATTTTAAAAGTCAACTCCTCACCATTGACAACGACTTCACTAAAATCAATTCAGCCGTTTTCACTTTTTAAGATTTATATTTTTATATTGTGTAAACTAATAATTTCATAAGTACTAACCTTTGTCTAGTTATTATGAATTACTTAAATAAACCTCCTAGTTCTGTAGTAATTCCGTTTCCAATCATATAACAAGAAAAAGAATATCTTTGAATTTTTTCACTTGCCTTGTTACTTCAATCTATAAAAGATTGTTATGATTGGTTTATATAATGTATAATAGTTTTTCATTTTCAAATAAATCCCATACATCTATGACTACATACTGACATGAAAAGTAAAATAATGGACCAAGACAATCATTACTAGATCATTTTCTCTTCATTCTTGTGTTTTGTATGTCTCAGTAAGGGTGTTTCACATTAATTTACAACAGTAAATTTAAAATAAAATCATTTCCAACTAGTCTATTGACTACATGATAAACACATACACAATTAACACAAGTGTAGTTTGTAGTTTGGCATGGAGGAAGTTAAGAGAAACTACATGAGTATTTATTAATAAGCAAGTTTGAAAATTAGACATAATAATAAGATGTTCTCATCTAACGGAATTAACTGAAATGGAAACAAGAAAAACCACTTGAATGACAAAGGAAATTAATGATTATGGCATGTTAATTTATGTGATACATTTAAGGAAATTATGTAATTTGTCGTTGTAAATAACATTGAAACATTTAAAATAGATAAATCACTATATATAACAGCTTTTTTCTGGTTAGCGTTTTTTAGCGCGTTAGTTTTCTATGGGATGAGGTCGCTAACCCCATGCCCAACCCTTTTCTTTCAACCGAGCATGGGACAGGCAGCAGACCCAGATGGGCTCCATGCGGAGTTATGCATTAGACAGCGGAATCAATGAGATAGATTGTATTATAAGATACAACATCTTACTTAGATGTATAGTTGGTTGTCTCAGTTTTCTTTATTGTTTTATCAAATATATATTCCAATGCATTGACTAAATTGATAACATTTATCATGCTTAATCAATTACTTTCAAATATATTTTTTGATAACTGTTATAAGTCTTATTGGATGATTGAAACTGGACTATTTAGATATTTTTTAACTACTGTCATTATTTAATCAGCTTTATTTTTGATAGGCATATAAAATAGAAGACAACCAAGAAAACAATAACAATAAGGTGTTATAGGCCACATTTGCTTGTCAATTAATATAATTTGACTTCTAAGATAGTTTTTACGATTCTAAAGATAATAATGAAGTAAACTCCAACCCCTACAGTACGTTTTAGCAAGATATATCTAAGGGATTCAAAGTTTTCTGCTTGAAGATGTGTTATTCGTTGATAATTCTATTCAAAAATTAACATTTACTTCTTATCATTCTTATCTTATTCAATAATGTACTTGAAAAATATGTTTCCGAAAAATGGGATTTTATTAGGCAATTTATGAGTTTTACGAAAAGAAACACAGTTGTTCATTGTCTTATACTTTTATTCTGTAATGGAATTTGTTATATCTGAGACATCGGTATCACTTGATAGATTTTATAATTGAAATCCTACTTATAATTTCTTAATTCTATCTATTTCTATTTTATCATGATTCAAAGCTCATACCATAATATATCTAAAATGCATAACCACATAGCTACTAAACTGGAAAATTACAATATGTACATAGCCTAGTCACAAAGGATACAAAAATGTAATAACAAGAAAAGAATTAATTATTGATAAATTTGGAACAATATTGTGGGTCAAATAAAAGTTTGGAAATTGCTAAATATAAAAATACAACAATCCAAGTCTCTCTTAGTTGTACAATAAAAATATAAATAATGATCATTCATACAATTGCCCTAAAAGTTATACGTTCACACTATTCGCCCCATTATATCAGTATTCAATTCATGACAGTTATTTCCTTTTTCAGGGAATATTCAAAGGAAAGAGTATTTATAATATTACGTGGGATCAACGAACAATAAACAGAAGTATTTAATTAAAGGAAAAGAGTTAAGCGACATATCTTAAGAATTGGTCATATCTTGTCAACAAAAAGCCCAATTCAAATTAAATGAATTTATGTCATAGTTGAACTTGAGCCAAAATACTCCATATTTTGTTTCATCTGAGTAAACTTATTCAAAATATATTATTTAGTCATATTTTAACGCACAAATCAAATTTATTATACAAACCTAATTTCAACGATAGATGATGTAAAATGAATAAATAAACACTCTAGTTATCCAGCTAAGAAGAAATCAGCGATAATCACATTGATAAAGTGTGTTTCAACTAAAAAATTTTGTTCAAGCTCTCTTTGAAAAGTTCCTTATATTATCCAGGTTAGAACTCTAAAAGAAAATATTTCTACACAAATATAAGAAGATTATGAATACAGTGGTCTTGAAAGATGTTAGAGGTATGAGCGCAGTTATCACTTAACGGTTGCCCACACCATGGAAGGGTTCTTCTGAAGGTACCTGAAAAGGAAATTGGATTGGAGGTGGTCTTAGTGTCCTGAGAGCGTGATCACAGTGCCCAAGGGACAACTGCTTGAGGTCGGTCACACACGACCTTCTTGTAAGTAAGTTTCGTATTATCTCAATACTTGTTGCGACGTTACCGTCTGAGACGGATATCCGTGGGTGATATGTCTCAGAATCGATCACAATGACAAAGGTGTATAAACTCTCTGTCTTTCCTTAAACTATAAGATTAAAATCATTTCATATCTTTATTTCTTCCAACTAATTCTTTCTTCCTGTACTATATCCTCATATGCAATCTCTCTTTTATATATGACCACCATTGATTGAATTACTTCTATGAATCCGATGTTAATCTTGTTGTGCCAATGAGGTATGACAACTTGAACCGATGCATATATGTTCCTGGTCCTACATTGTAGCTGACTGACTGACACAAATATAAGTATTAATAACTTCAATATTTATTTGTACGACTAAATAAGCATCACACTCATTGGTTTGTACGTTGTTTATTTGGTGGTGATTCATACATTGATCAAATAGCTAACAGATTTTCAGTTATGTTTTAGCTCAATTTCCCACCAGTCCGTTCATTTTCTCTTTATTTATTTCCTTTTTTTAGTCAGAAAACTTTGGGAGTAATGCTTTTTTTGCTTCGGTTGTCTCATTAAAAATGCCCTCATCAGAATTAAATCAATTGAATGATCCATCAATTTGCCAAGCTATCGTGAATGAATTACAAAGAGAAATGTCAAGACCAGCTTATAAGAAAGATTTATTCCTTAGTGGAAGTTTGATACATCTTAATGAAGTAAGTTAATTATAATGAATTGTGTTATTTCTTCCCCACTTCCGCCAAGACAATTATCATTATGGAGATTGAGCAGTAAAGTCTCACTCCTTATTCATCAACAATATCAAGTTTTATGCAAATGTACGCTAGAACAATCAATTGAAAATAGCTTGTTACAAGAGAAATAATTAAATCAAATTTGACTCATCGTAGTTATGCGTAATATTTATCGACACGTTTGTTTACGTTACGCTCACTACATGATCTATTGACTACTAATAGCCAATTATTCTAATAAACGGTTAACTTCATTCGGTTAATAATACGTCAATCCTTACTAGCTGGTTATGTCAAATAGATAGAAATACTACCTTATCGACCAACTGAAATTGTTTATCAAAGGAATAATAAAAATGTTTTCATTTTATTCATGAAACGTGGTAAATAGATTAATACTGGAAGTAACACTATAAAATAACATTTTACCTACTACTGATGATCAAAATAGTTAAGTTGAATTGTGAATCATCTTTATTTATTGATCTAAAAGGAACAGTGTTTCTATAGATTCTCGCCCTATGTAAACAAATGAAGAAATGATCCTAAATAAATTATTTATTTCTATCATATTGACATATTAGAGACCATTCAGTCAGATATCTATCTGAAAATTCTGTATCATTCAAAACCACTAGCTGTTGAGTTAATCATACCGACAAAGTGACTTATACTCATTAATAACATTTTATGAAGAATCAAGTTATAACTCATTTACATTGAAATTAAAGAAAGTGGATCACTACATTATAAGTTAACAGTTTTAAGTCTACATATCATAAGAAATGACGTTTTAGATTTTAACTCTATGTAGGCATTTGAATAAATGATACGGAACAGTATTAAACTAAGCATCGATTTTCATATTTTCTTTGGTTTATGTTAGTTTAAAATTTAAAAAAAGATTTTCAAACTACTTATTAGATTGAAAAGTAGATACATATATACTAAATTTTTACATGTGAACTAAAGTAAAAAAATCTACCAGAAAATTAAAACATACATAAGTAGTTTATGACAATATTTTTTTAAAAAAAGTATATTCAAACCAATGTTTCTTTATGATCATTTACAATCTACTAAGTATTAAAAATCTTATTATGATCGAATGGAAACAAAATAGTAATGTGTTTTACTCATTTTTAAAACTTATTTTCAGTTCCTATCTACTACTGATGTAGCCTCATATATTCGATCAGTAACAATGCCCGCTGAAGAAATGCATATACGTCAACCGATATGGTCTATGATTAAAAATGTTTTAGATATAGAATTATTGAAAAGTCCAACATTTATACTACTTTCGATTTCTAGTGTACTCAGTATGATTGGTGAGTTTAAAAGTTATACATTGGAAACAATTGTTTTTAAAAAAAATGATTTTCTTTACAAATCCAACACAGATTGATTGAATGTTTTAAAACATTATGAGTATTAAATATAAAAATGCTAAATTTATCCACTTTGTAGTGGTAGTTCTGTTTAATTGAATTTTACATCCATATAGATCGTGAACGAAGATACAAGCATAAATGTATTCATTTTAATAAGATACTGTGATGTGTACTACTTATATCAAAATAAGTAGTATATGACGTTAGTTGTAAACTGAATGTCTGGCAGCAGAGAGACAAGAGGATTGAACAGTAAAGAATGTAAACAGAATGCAATTTATATGAAGATGGAAAAACAATGAAGTCTGAGTCATTCTGAGACAATTGATGGACATTTTGGAAATTAAGCATTTACTATATGATTGTTAGATTATATTAACAAGTCCTGTAATTTTGTGTCATGTACATTCGGTTGTCCCCACTGAGGTTCTGTTCACTACAATACCATCTGAAATCAAGTTATTTTACTATCATGTGAATGTAGTTTAATAATAGGGCAGGTGAATCCATATCTTCATTGTGCAAGTTAAGTATGTTTTGATAAAATCAAGAATATTCCTGAACTAATTATATTGATTCAGTATTTTGTAATTTATGTAATTTACATCACTATCTGATGCATTTACAATTATTTTCTACTGTTATGAGATATCTCAAAGGTGAGAATTCATAACGTACGTTAATAGATACTTAACCTTTAGACTTTTGACCAAACACTTAATAGTCAACTTTCCTTATTTATATTAATTTACCATAATATATGATCATCATTTATTATAATCAGTGATACTTTCCTCTCTCTTGGAAAGTTGAAGTTTCCCATTAATCTAGTAAAGTAACACCATTATTACCTAGAGAATTTGGTTACATGAAATGCTGACCAATAATTTATACCAAATATGATCAATACATTTTATATCCCGTAAAAAAATGTGATTAAAACTATAAGTTAAATTCCAAAAAATAGTTTACTATTATCTTCCTTATAAAAATATAACGGTGAATCGTTATTTATTTACATTTAAATTAACATATTGATCAGTAAGATAAAAAACATTAATCTCTATACATAAAAAGTGGAAAAAAATAGATTGTAGTTCATAATTAACTAATAAAGTTCCATACATAATACATAGTCATAAACATTCATTCCTTTATAAGAAAAATAACAGATATGATTATAATGAAAATGTGTTTTATTAAATGTGTCCAGTACAATTGGTTGGTTACTGAGTGATGATCAAGGTCATGTCTGTCTAGTCCTTCTTAGTGCAGATCGAATCCTATCGACCAAGTTGCAATGTGGTCACTAGTCTGGGTGACTCGACATTGCGTGCACTATGTTGAGATAAGATGGTGGTTGGAAGTAGTCAACAGGAAACCCTGGACCTAGGTTTCGTGCTACTTGGCACTCATCAGCAAGATGTACCTGTAATCTTGAGGGAACTGATGCTCCCTGACGGATTCGATCCCGTGTCACCCAGCTTCACATTCAAAGACGTTACCGCTGAGCTATCCAGGTAGCGACTGACCTACTGTAGGACTGAGGTGTATTTACAATTGATCGATCACTGGGTGTTGAAGCTGGGTTAAACGGGATCGAATCCTTCAAGATTACAGGTACACTTTACTGACGAATGCCAAGTAGCACAAAACCCGGATCAAAGGTTCTCTGTTGACTACCTTCAACCACCATCTTACAATTGGTGGAATCTGAATTAGTTATTTGGATGTTTGGCTTGTCATACTTGTGCTTATTAACTTGAAAGCGACAGATTACGCCGATTGTTTTTTAATTTACGATAACAATATAAATCCCTAACTCATTACTTTTATAATCTAGAAATAAACTAGTGACCCTCATGTGCTTATCCATTTATTTTATGACATCTCTAATTTATAAGACATTTGATACAATACACATAAATGGTACATGTCTAATGTTGTTAAAGATGATATATGATGTAGGATTATTGTGTCGAGTTGAATGAACCAATAGTAAACTACGTCTCGACTTTTTGTAATGTAGTCTATTGATTAAGAACTTTCGTCTAAATTTGAACGAATAGTTTCACAATATTTGGGCGCCGAGTTAATGTGAGACATTAAAGAGAAAAAATGTATTTGTAAAATCTCATTCGCTGAGATTTTACAAATACATTTTTTCTCTTTAATGTAGTCTATTGATATTCTATTTCCTAAATAATAATATCTTCCCTATCTAAATGAACACTAATTGTTGCTTACGTACAATCATAAAGGAATGGTGAATGCACTTATCCTCCTCAAACCAGTAACGATATTCGTGCATTTTAACTGTTTATCCTAAATAGTTCAACAATAAAATTTTTATTAGTTTTTTTTTGTCTTCTTTTTCCAATGTCAACATCCACATTTAGACAAACCTAAAATTAGTTTAACCAAACACAATAGTGTAACGTCGTTATCATCATCATGTACGCAGTCATATATTTTGTATTAACTCGTATTATTAGAATTTTAATCATTTTAATAGTCAAATTATCAGTATACACATCATTGTAAAAATCTTTCAGACATTAGGAATCTAATAATCATCGCTTAACTGGTGAACTATTAATATCATCTATAAGCCTTTATCATGTCTTTGTTTTGTTTATTTTCAAAATGATCAACAGAGAAATGTGCTGTTGAAATTGAATAATCATACCATATTGGTTCATATGCTTGTTCAACTATTCATATGTGCATACAGTACTGTTTAAATCAATAAAGCAATTGATATATTGGTCAATTAACTTTGATGATAATGGCAAACACTATCATTTGCTTATTATTAAGGTTCATTGGATTAGAGGTTAAGCGTTCGCACGCGATACCGAAAGTCCTGCGTTCGAATCCCGTGTGCTGAATCGTGAATGCGCACTTCTGAGGAGTCCCATACTGAGAAGAAACGGCCGTTCAGTGCTTCCAGGTTTTAAATGGTGATCTAACATTGATCGGTTCATAATTTCAGTAAAACTCAACAATCTCCGAAACCCTATACCGATATTTAATAATTGTTGTACTACATATTTTACGTTGAAGTGCAGTTTTCACAACAGTTACTCATGATTTCAAATATGTAAACCATTAATTTAGTTTCAAATATCGTTAAACTCATACAAATGGGAAAGATTATTTTTGATGATCAAGTAGTATGAGGTGTGCTTAATTGTTAATATTTCGTTTTTGAGACTAAGTTTCTTTATTCTTCTCCTTCTTCACCTTTTTGTTAACTTTGTTTCATTTTTATCCTTAGGCTATTGTGTTCCATATCAATTTCTTAAAGATAACGCTCAACAACTTGGTGCAAGTGAATCATCTGCATCGTATTTATTAGCATATCTTGGTGGTTCAAATACAGTTGGAAGAATATTGACAGGTATGTAAGAGAAGGAAAAGTATATTGTTTATTTGATTTATGATACCGAATCCTTGGTTTTTCATTGGTTTATTTTTTCTATCATTAATAACAACGCAATCTACTACTCCAGATCATTAAAATCATTGCATTCTATAATAAAACTCAATTGAATCTTTGATATACACAGTCATATCATATTTAAGAAGAATATAATGATTACTAATGAATTATATTATTTGGACGTGCTAACAGTGTGTTGGCACTGTTATCGGTCTACTTAGATTTATATTTGTTTGGAATGCTTTTTATCATTTTATTATTCAGTATAATGGTTGCTTGGATAGTAGAAAAAGCATCTATACCTATTCAGGGAAATAAAGAAACGGTAACCAGTTAATGGATTCTATGATTTATACTATTGGGAATTATTGCTTAACGATAGTACACTCTATGATAAAACAACTGTTTGAAGTACAACAACTATGTTGACAGTTGTTTTATGTTAATAATTGCGTTTCCAACTTTATTTACCTTTTTTCAATTTTATTTCTTTTTATAAAACAAAATTAGAAATTGTGTGACTTGCAGCAATTTACAACTGTGGTTACATTTTGCTTGTTTGCTATTTAAATGGGCAGATACTTATTTAGAGTTGGTTTTTTCCTTGTCTGAACCTTGAAACTAGTCAAATATTTACCATCTCATTTAATAAGGAGACTTTCGGCACATGTCCAATTCGGTAAACAACAGAAATATTGATTTTTCTTCAAAGTTTACCCGACCAATGGGCTTCAAATTAGACAAGTTGTTACATTAGTTTTAGTTAAACCAATGTATGTTGATCAATACAGTAAAAGTAACTAAATAAACTTCAAAGTTTCCTTTGCCTGCGATTTTTTGTATGTTGAGGCCTACTGATGCAGAGGCTTCTGCTACATTAGTTGTCTTGACCCGCATCTATTGGTGTGTATGGGATAAAAGGTCCAGGTCATCTGCATAAACCGAATCGTCTAGTTGCATGCAAGCTGTCCATTTTATTCCGTGCTTCCCCTCAAATTTAGAGGTCTTCATAATTCAGTGAAGCATCAGAAGAAAGATGAAGGGCGAGAGCAAACGGCGTCGTATGACACCAATCTCCACTCGGATTGCGTCTCTGAGTTATCTTTCGTGCATGACTTTACAGTGTAGTCTGTCATATGAATTCTGCATGATAATGACTATCTGAAGTACGACATAGTGTCGAAGAATGTCTCACAAGGTTCTCCTATCCACGTTGTCGAATGCTTCTTCATAATCAAGGATATTTCGTGTCCTTTTTTGAATATCATAAAACTGAAAAATCAGTAGTCATTTATTAAACTTATAAATTTAAGGTTTTTTTATTTATTCACTGTCAACCAATGTAATTTGTTCAAGTTTTCAAAATTAAGAACCAACCATTGAAAATAATTGCATTATTTATTAAATACGAACATATTATACTCCGTTCTTTTTTATAGAGATTAACAAGTATATGCACTTAGTGATTAGCATGTGATTGGAAATAAATATTATTTTAAAATTACATAATTAACATTACACTTCAGCTGATCCACTCATTTTTGTATTAAGTATTTATCCATGATTAAGTTTATGTTTTGTCTGTTATAAAATCTTTTCTATTTTACCGGTTATATGTTACATCTTTGTCTGCTTTATTCATAAGTTTATCAACAACTAGTTAGAGTTATAAAAATAATTATTTATTTTATTTTTAATTGAACACATAGATATTGGCACAAGGAAGCACCAAATGCATATGCGCCACACAAATCTCATTTGATTTGTGCGAGGGCTGCGATAATGCCCGAGTGCCAAAACCGAAGCAGTTGGTTTTCGTAGGGAACCACACCCAGAGCCTTCGACCTAAGGGTCTGATCCACAAGACAGTGGAGCATCGTAAGGAGATGCAGTCACATGGTAGCCGGTGACCAACGATTGGTTCATACGCCATTTGCTCCTTCAGGATACTGGAGCTCATGTGCACCACTGGTTTGGAATCAAGGTTTTCCAACTCCCCTAGGTAGACGCTCCGTGTCCACCAACCCGGGTAAAGCGCCGGACATTCGCTTTTCCTCCTCTCGATTTCATAAACTGTTAGGTTCGTGAAGCTTGAATGCTAATACTGATTCGTCTCACTCGGAACGGAACGAAGTATCAAGGATTCATAGACTCGATAGGCTATTCTGGTCCGTTGTCCCCGACTCAGCTAACTCGATCAAGAAGTCTTGGTAAAACGTAGAAGGTGTATTCTACAGGCAACCAGCAGATACCAGGTTAGTCAGACACACAAATCAAGCGTATATACACAAATATATATATAATCGATATTGCCATATAAATTTTTAAACACTCGTCAATAAATTCGTCAATCGACTACCATTCAAATATTTAAACATTTTATTAATAAGTTAATCGATAAGATAAAATTACAAAATGTGAGTTTGGGAGATCTATCGTCCCCAACATAAACAACACCCTCGCCATGAGAAGGCAGTGAGTAAGACTTCCCTGGCAGTGGCTATATACTCGTGGCCATGTGAGAGCATCTCGAGAGGGTGAGCGGACTCTCCCTTCTCTCGGCCGTACCAGGGCATTTGGGGGCACAAAGATAATTAACTATCAAATTTCATAGTATTAATCAAGAGTTACAGAGTACTAAGAAAATAAATGCCGAATTCAATTGCTAAAACTTGATTTATTGTGATAAATTTCTTGTTGCATTTCTTAACATAGATAATAATTGATTTTTATTATTTACAAGTATTCACTCTAGACATATTATTTTCTTGTTCATATTAATATCCTGTTAGTATGTACATGGCCCAGAATCGATCACAATGATGGTGTATATACTCTCTGTCTTTCCTTAAACTATGAGATTAAAATCGCTTCATATTTTTCTTTCTATCAACTAATTTTTTTCCTTATATGCACTCTCTCTTTTATATATGACCACCATTGAATGAACTACTTCTATGAATCCGATGTTCATCTTGTTGTGCTAATGAGGTATGACAACTTGAACCGATGCATATATGTGCTTGGTCCTAAGCTGTAACTGACTGACTGATTGATGTACAATTCAGTTACATAATGACTGTATAGTTATTGGTTGTATTTAACAAATCAATATTTTAAAGTTGTACACTTTCAACTTAATACATAATTTGCTCTTACTAATGAAAGAATACTTCAAGATGAAAGTTGTTTTAAGTAGATTGTAGGTTTTTATTTAATAAATCTTCCCATAGTATTTATATTCACTTAAAGTTTTTAGATTTAAAAACATAGTTAAGAATTAAAATGTTTATTCCTTATTTTACTTTGCTGAGTATTGGAGGTTTACTAGTTTCTAAAAATAGAGTTCTTTTTCAAAGACAATCGATAAAGCATAAAATCTCATTTATACAATCAGTTATATCACTCAAATAAACTATATCAATCAATAAGCAGAATATGAATATGGACATATATAAATAGATTTATTCATGGCATGTCTGAGATAAGAGATAGATAGATAGATTGATCAATAGTTAAATGAGAATAAAGTAGAACTTTATTAACTTATGTATTCACTATAATAACAATACTGAGATGAACAAAGGAAGATGAAATCAAATATTTACTATAGATATTCTTGTTCTGATATTTCAGATCTTCATAAAATTCTGGAATTTACCAATGTCCCATTCGAATAGGTTTGTACAATCAGTATACTTTTAGTCAGGTAGAAAGTATCCAATGTAGGAGAAAGATGTAAAGAAATTATTACCTCAAAAATCATGCTTATGAACAAAATAATTTAAAAGAAATATATCTAATTATCATATACACAAACAAGATCCATGACATTTAAATACAAAACTATACATAGTTTAATTCATATAGTCGACATTAATTTTACTTTTAAAGCATCAAATTGAAACAATCCAGCATCACTTAAGTTGTGTGACGTATTCAGTTTAAACAATAAAGTAAAACTTAGATAACGTCAAAGCTAAATAAATGTAAATTTCTGATTGTTATGACAGTATGTTTAAAATACAAACAGATTGCCTTCTCATTTATGGACTTTTTGGTCATAATTCATCAAAAAAGGCTTGTTAAAACGTCTTAGAAACTGTACACCATACAAATAAAAGTTACATAATAATTATAACATTTTTAAAAGAAAACGAATGATTTAAAAATAGAGCCATAATTTTTTTTGTCTGAAATATTATTGTCTTAGTTGAACAATAATTATACGGTTAGTTAAAATCAAAGTCACTATTATCCACCTTAAACTTTTTCCAACTGTAATTCCTTTTTATTCACTTGGTATTGTTTACTTGTATCTTTTTATTGTTGTTAAGGGTTATAATTAATTAGTCTATTGTTAGTATATGTGCATTCTTTTCAGATTGGCACGATATTAACTTAAGTCACAAGCTTTATAAGCAAAGATGAATAATGGCTATCAGTAGAATCAGGGACGCGTGTACAAGATACTGGGGCTTCCAACTGACGAGTCCCAAATGGGACGAAACATACGTCCTGGATTACATTACTCTCCACTATCCGTCTTTCTTTAATTTATTAATGATATGACAATGGTGTACGGTGGCGCAACTTCGTGGATTGGTTGAAGTTAGACATTAACACCGTTGGATGCCGGCCGGCTCAGTGGTCTAGTTGGTTAAGTGCCTGGCGTGAGACTGTTAGGTCCTGGGTTCGAATCTCGCGAGGAGCGGGATCGTGGATGCGCACTGATGAGGAGTCCCATGCTAGGACGAAACGGCCTTCCAGTGCTTCCAGGTTTTCCATGGTGGTCTAGCTTCAATGGATTCATGATTTCAACCAGTGAAATTTCTAAAATCTTCACACAATCCCTTCTGAAAATAAATTGTTGGTAAAAAAAATGATTTCATTATTTAATTTCATGTATTTTTAAGTAATTAAATTTAAATAGTTGAGATCATGAGTCATTTGAAGCTAGACCACCATAGAGAATTTGGAAACACTGGACGGTCGTTTTTTCTTAATGTAGGACTCCCCAGCAGTGCGCATCCACGACCCCGCCTAGCGGGGTCTCATGATTTCAACTGTTAAAATTACTACAATCTCCACAAAACACCTTCTGATACTAATTAAATTTAGTTTATCTTGTTAATAATTAGTATGTAGTAACCCCATTGAATTATTTTATTATTTTTCTACTTGCAGTAATTTACCCATTTAATTCACCATGTAAAATTATGTGTGAGTTCGATTGAGCGTATATCCGTACATCAATATTTATCTGTTCTCTTATAGGTCGTAACACACAAACAGTCAGTAATTTTATGCAAAACCGATTAACATATATATGGATTTTTGACACAATCTCATTGGTTTCCATGTGTGCTTACTATCTTCACACTTGCGGACTTTATTAATCTTTAACAACAAACTATCTTTGTAACTAATGTTTAGGCATTTGAATAATCTTGAGTAAATTCGTAATTCTACTAAGACATTTAGCCAGCGTTAAATACTTAGTTAACGGGATACACCATTTATTGGAATCAGATATAGAGGGAACTAGATCCTACAAGCATACTAATATAAATTTGGAAGGGGTTTTGTGGAGATTGTAGTAATTTCAGTAGTTGAGATAATGATTCAATTGAGGCTAGACCACCATAAAAAACCTGGAAGCACTAGACGGCCGTTTCATCTTATTGTGGGATTCCTCAGAAGTGAACATCTTACCTCGCGGGACTCGAATCCAGGACCTACCAATCTCGCGTGCAAGCACTTAACCACTCGACCACTAAGCCGGCATCCGACGATGTTAATGTTTAACTTCAAGTAATCCACGAAATTGAGCAACACGTCCACTATTGTCTTCAGTGAGTTATGTAGCTTTCAAAGATACATATACATATGTTTATTTGTAAATGTGAAGTAAAAATATATTGATTTTAATAATTTCACAAACATGTAATTATTATGATTATTGAATTTAATGAAAATTTTTTACAAATTATTGATTTATAGGTTGGTTATCCGATCAATCATGGGCTAATGTACTTTACATTAATAACATTTCATTGGTTGTATCAGGATTACTTACATCTTTGGTCCCGTTAATTACAGTTTACGGAGGGTTAATTGGCTATTCATGTTTATATGGACTCTCAATATGTAAGTGCACTGTGCTTTAAACATTATTTATCTATAAACATACATTTAATTTACATGGGGTATTTTAATCAGTTAACGTGATATTGTTTAAATAATATGATTCTTCTATATTAATCTTTCTCAGCAGTTTATTAGTTGAGCACGTCGGGTTCGCCACATTTGTAGCCCAGTATCTGACTCCGGTGTAATCTTACGAAGGTGCTATGAGAATAAGTCTTCCATTTAAATCCGTATACTACTTGGGCTCACTCGTTTGTGGGACAACGGTAATAAAAAGCCGAATACGGGTTGAGTTGGAGGAATTTATTCCAGGCACTCGTTTATCCAAACAGACATTCAGGATAGGAAGCCGGAAAGCACAATGGAAAAGGAGAGTGATCAGGCGTAACCCAATATTTATAGTCACACAAAAATAGGCTACAGACATGTGACGGGTAGGATAATCAATGCACAAACATATGAAAACAGTCAAAGTTAAACAGCGAATAACTGACATGGTCAAAATGTGACTCAATACGAATGAATAAATTGGTCTATCCGGAAGCTAGAATAATCCATGTGGGATTGATATGGTACCAGACACTACAATTGCATAGTGTTGATTTATACCTAATCAAAACCATGGGTTTGATTTCCTGTTGCACGTTTGTGGGTGCGCACTGCTCAATACCATACAAGAATGAAACGGCCATCTGGTGCTTCAAGATTTCCAACGATTGTATAACTTCGGTTAGATTATAATATCAATATCATAAGCCTCAAAGTGAATTGTGACAACGTAGTAAGAGCTTTAGTGACTATGTTTCTGTACGGTGAAGTTGATTCGAATAATCTATTTACTGATAATTTACTTAACCTCTCAAGAAATCCTCCACAAAGTCCCCAGAATCCGGAAAATAACAACAAACATCGAGCCAAATCAGTATTGAATAGATAAATCCTAGAAGGACCTTAAAAAATGAAAGATTATATCATATATATTATTTTCGTTATATCTCAATGAGTAAAAAATGGTATTTCTGACTTTTCATGACTTCATGTAAACCACTTCTTCAGAGTAAATAACAAACGTTGGAAATATAATTTTCTACTCATTGAGATATGATAAAAAAATATTCTTATTAGTAACTTTTTACTTAGTGCTCAATTTACTTGAAACTATCAAGTCTAACCTTGGCATTATTACCTACAAACGAAAGATTATGTGTTACTTTACTATTGAATAGTTACTTATTTTATTTGTATTCAGAAGCTTTTAGAAAGTCAAAGTAACTTGTAAACATGAATAACCTTGTTTTCTGCACATAACATTGAAGGTAAGCTTTTATCCCTACTTAATGGCTTCTCTTTATTTTTCGAGTCTTAAGTGAAGTATTTGGGGAAAATAAGAAGAGAGTAGGAAGTCAGTATTAAGCGATAAAGTGGCAGACATATTACTTAATATAAATTAGAATTAATAATAAAAGGGGTTTCAGAGAAAAATGAATAAATGTTCCACATCTAAAGCTGTGTTCACAAGATATTTGTTTATTGAGAGACCCTGTGAAAAAGAAGAAAAAATGTTTACCTAGAATTTTTTTGAACTGGTTCTTTTCAGTTTGGGTGAAATTGATATAGGTGTAATATTTAATTGTTCGTTTAACGCTGGAACTACTTTCAAGGTAGCTTAATTTTGATTATTATGTTTTAATAGATAGATCAACTTCTTAAATTACATATTAATAGCAGGAAGAAGCCACTTTTTTCTTGTCCCATGAATAAGAACTAATGTATAAAACTATTGATAGCTAGTTCTGATTTTATAAATGCACTATTCATATCAATAAGTTACTTCGATTTATGTGTCGACTAGCGGTATATTACTCCATGTGATATTACAGAAAAGACATTACCACATTTTCCCGAAACACTAGATATATATACTGGGGGATCTTTAAATTATATTGATTTGAAACAACTATTGCTCAAAATAAACTCATTAGTGTTTTACAAATATGTCTTATATTTTGCATAATTTCTCCTTAGTTTATGCGATAACTTATTAAGTGTGAATAAACAGTTGAAATAGTGATCCTGCAATGAAATCTAAAAATATCTTTCAGATGAAATTTATGCACATATGAAAGGCCTGATTTATTGTTCGCATGTTATATATATATATATATATATATATATATATATATACGAAAAACTTTTGTTTATAGTACACAGAAGTATAAATGCTATACATGCTTCACTGAATGAAACGTTACCACGTAACTCTTCAGACCACCGAGTCACTTAAATTCAAATCTCATAGGGAGTATCAGTCCACCCAAGATTGCAGATACGTCTAGATTGTGAATATAAACTATAGAGATATATAAGTCCAATATTTCTGATCTACTTCTCCAACCATCTAATATGTTGTCATAACTTGAAGGGTAGCGTTTGATCTGCACCAAAACACTAAACATTACTCACTACCTAGTGATTAATGAAATGCAAACAAATCCTCTATCACAGATAACATTCAATTATTAACAAATGTACGAAACATTCGTCTAGGCTGTTGTCAACTTTCATATCCATCTATCGATCATGATTATTTACTATAATGTAGAAAAGAAATGGAATAGTTAACGAATCGATTTGTGGTTCAAATGCTTTAAAATCTTTAAGAAATCGTTGAATACTGTGCCCAAATGCATTTGAAGCATAGTTTCAGGAAGAATATAATGTAATCTAGTCAAACAGAACTAAGGCGAATCATTTTGTTTTGTATTCGTGGAAGTATTTTTCATAGAATGTCATATCTTTTTAAAGAACAACATCAATATATATAATATCCGGTTATTTTCCAGTTATATGTTTACAGGATCTCATGAACCACATAGAATCTACTTGTGAGATACATATGAAGCTAAATAAATCATCTTTCACGTTTGAACCATAACCTGCGTCTTCTTTTTCATTCATCTCTGTGATTGGTTAATTTCTTATTATGTTCTTCTTTTTTCTTAACAGCTGCATTCATATCAGTTCGAACAATTTTAATTGTTCAAGTTTTGGGCTTAGATCGATTAACCAATGCTTTTGGATATATGTTACTGTTTCAAGCTTTCGCATATATTGGGGCACCACCAGCATTCGGTAATTTCTGTATTGCTTTTAAGTAATATGATATCTAAATATAAATAATTTCTAATAAAATAATCAATACAAGTTACAATGAAACTAAATGTATGTAATCTCTAATATATGACAAAATCAATATACTAATCCAAGCTTAGAATGTGAAATAGCAAATGAAATGAATTTACTACTGATGCTTATCTTTCAAGCTTCAAACATTTAAACTGCATATATTTTATTTATAGATGGAATAATTTAGGGCGTTAATTATATAAATACACCAGGAAGTGTAGAAAATATACGCGAATACAATTCAATACACTTCATGGAATTTATATAAGATATATTTTGTTTTAATCTATGTATATATCATTGAGAATGTTGCTTGAAGTGTACCATGAAATGCAAATTTCTATTTTACAAGGTATACAGCAAAAAATAAAGTTTTATTCTATTATAAACAACTAATGTATACATATGTGAACATGCACTAATACTCCTCCATCCCCATTTTAGACACTAAAAAAATCTAAACTCACAACTTCAAATGCTATCTAACCTAATATCCTAATGTTTCAATGCTAGCAGGTTACAACTTAGACATTGATTTAAAATCTAATGGTCAACATTTCGAATTCATATCGATCCATAATACAACATAATCATCTTTTGATTTCAGTAATAGATAAATCGCCCAAAATACAAATTAGTCACATCTAAAAATCATTTGTTTTCACTTAAATCATATGAAATTCGCAAATATGAAATTAGCTAGCAACGAAAACAACCCTTTTTACATTATTGATTTTGTGAAAGTATCATCATTTTAAAGACGACATTTTCAAGCCATGAACAGTAAGGTTAATAAATTCGAGTATAAGATATTTATATAAGAATAAAAACAGTTTGATTAGCGCTGTTTTTAGAAATAATGAGCACGACATTATAACCCATTGCTGACATTACATCATATATTTACTCAGACTCGGTTATCTAGGGTTAGATTACTACTGAAGCTGTGATTGTAAATCAATGAGAAGTCTATCATTTGGAAGGATAAGTTTTACAGTGGCTCTTTATCTAATGAATGTTGATATTAAAAATCATTTTCAACAAAATATTGGATTAAATCTTGTTATTTTCGTTCAAAGATGTGTAATAACTAGTTAAAGATGTATTATTTCACTGTAAATGTGAAGGGAATTTGAAATAAATTATTAAAATGCTAACTAGTGACTGGCTTCAAGAGGTATATCCACGAGTTCTGGTGAAAATTAGTGACCAGTGGAGTTCAACCAGGTTTATTGTCAGATAGTAACTCATTGAAGACAATGGTGGACGTGTTACTCAATTTCGTGGATTAGATGAAGTTAGACATTAACACCGTTGGATGTCGGCTCAGTGGTCCAGCGGTTAAGTGCTCGCGCACGAGACTGATATGTCCTGGGTTCGAATCTCGCGACATCGGATGGTGGATATGCACTACTGAGGAGTCTCACAATAAGACGAAACGGCCGTCTAGTGCTTCCAGGTTTTTTATGGTGGTTTAGCTTCAATTGACTCATGATCTTAACTATTAAAACTACGATAACATCCACAAAAACCCCTTCTGATATGGAAATGATAGTGAGTATTTCTTGTTTTTTGAACATAAACCAATTTTTCTTTGTTATTTCTAATAAACCGTTTTCAATTTTGTTTTATCTCACTTTTAGGTGCTATGTATGACCGGTTCAAAAACTTTAATTTAATCTTTATTCTTGGTGGATTATCTGTTTTTATATCAGGTTTACTTTGTTTTCCATTAGCTAAATTATCTAAATGGGAAAATCGTGAATCATATCAATCAGATGATAATGAAATTATTTATGAAAAAACTAAAGATCAAAGTTTATATCCTATACGTTTATTAAGACGTATACGTGATTGGTTTAATAAACATTTTCAATGTTCTAAACATTCAAATGATATTTATTAGAGTAATACTAAATACTTATTTATGAATTTACTTTTCTCAAAAGATCTACTTCATAAATGTTGATCAAATTGTAATTAAAATTAAACTTATTATGATTATGATTATTATTATTTACATTGTGAATAATAAGTAAACAAAATAAAAAAAGAGATCATGATTTCGTCAATTTCTGCCTATACTACTTAATATTATTAATATAATAAAAAGTTGAGAATATAATAATAATAAACAATTGATTATTTGTTTCTAAAATATGTTACTATTAAATTCATTGTTTGTTTGTTTGTTTGTTCCTGTTTTTGTTTTTCGTTGTTTTTTACTGAATGATTAAAAAACAAATAAATTATTTTTAACACCTTTAACTTAAAGCATTTAACTATGCATAAAAGAAAAAAACTGGTCTCCACTCTCTTATTAAGTTTTCTTCTTTTCCTTTTCATGGTGATGTTGAAAATATATAAAACATAATCTCAATTCATATAATTTGTGTAAGCATTTGTTTTCTTTTTTTTCCATTCCATAAATGCCAAATTACGCAATAGAACACGCGATTATATATATATATATATATATATATATATATATATATATATATATATGAACGTTGAATCTTCGTCGTTTTCGTTCCCTTGAAATTTACTATTTCTGCGTCCTTAGAATACGAGTCAATACCTTACTAACAAACAACTAAAAATATATATTATTCCATGGTATTGTTCTTTGTTATAAATGTAATTAATAATCAGTTAGTCATAATCATTATAAAATCTTACACAAATATCCATTAGCCCAAGTTAACCTTAACATATTAACACATAATAATAATATGAAAGACTAAATAGTGATATAATCATTCGCAAACGAGCCATATTATTTAAAGTTAAAACATTACGTAATCATCAGACATTTGCTATGCACACAAAACATTTTATTGATTATTCTGCAATAAATGAATTCGACCTTGTACAATGTACTGATTTTAACTTACATATATGAGATGGAAGTGTGGAAGCATGAACTTCTTTAATAATTAGTAAATATTGGTAACATTAAATTGCATATAAACTGTGATCTAATGAAATATTTCTGAGACTAAAGAGAACACGCGAATAAAAATGGCATAAAAAGAACATAAAGTAAACATCTAATGAAAAAATACAACTATGAAACCTCAAAGCAGTTTTTTCAGATAAAAATTATGTATTAGGGGCATATTAAAGTAAGCAGTTGACTGAGAAACGTGATTAGTTAGGTTCAAGGCAAATATGTACTTGATAATGTAGCGAATAAATTACAGATGATGTGAAGCACTGAAGTTTGCTAATATATGTTTTTGTGAAAAAATAGAACGCTTCAATATTAGGTATGGGAATAGTATGAAATCTCTAGGTTTCATTATGACACCACTCTCTTACTCTCATAAGTTCTCAAATTAAACTAATGAAACAAAATATTTAGGGGTCTAAACGTTTTAATTATCTAAGCTCCACGTGTATCATGTTTAAAAAAAAACATACTAATGATCTGACAAATAAACTTTAGAAAGTCTTTCGACGACGAATAGCATGCTTATAACATCTACATTGACTTTTTACACAATACCGTTTATTGATTCTATCATTCCGAAATTTATACATAAGCAATAAATTGGTTAACACGAATTTAATTGACTCGATAACATTTTATGTTACTTAAGTAGTATATTTCGTAAAACAACATTTTCTTAATTGGTTTTAAAAGTCAATGCTAAGTTTCCTACTACTCAACTGAACAAGACATTTTTTGTTTTCTTGCATTTTTTTGAATAAGTGTGCACATTACAATATTAAAATCAGTAATTGTTTACAGGATATCAAGTGAGTTAAATATTCACTACAAGTTACTTTTAGAAATTTCGATAACCGATATCCTTTCATTGAATGAAGCAATTTTGCATTATGTTGATGAATTTGGTTGCTTTGAGAAATGTACTTACTTACATGACAGTTTTTAAACGCCAGTGATCACGTTATTATTCTAAGTAGCAATCGTTCTAAATAAATGAATAAATCTTACGAAGAGAAAGTAATTCACATCATTTATAATATATACAAATCCATATTATCAGCTAAGCAATTGTGGTATTAGTCATTAGAATAGATAGTAACGTAACACTAAATAATATAAGCTATTCTGTTAACAGCTTTTTTCTACTAAAATTTAAGAATATTGTCTTTTCAATCTATCCGTTATGATTAAATTATGAACCACACATTGTAATTGACATTCGTGTAAACATGTTAAGTACAATGAACTGAGTGAACAAATCTTTCACTGAAATATACATTCAAGCTACTCTGACTTGTATTCATGGGAAAATGTTTATAAGGAGACGAATAGAAAAAAGCCAAATATCACATAAATAACAACGATAACAGAAACATTGAACAGAAAACATTACAACTCTAATTTACGCATAAGTGAAATAATAAACACCACAATATTGATCGGTAATAATCATAAAACATTGAAATGATACAAATCCTTGTTAAACAACTGAACAGATTCTAAAATCCATATGACTGTGCAACATTCTAGGTAATATGTAAAGTTGATAGTTAGATTTTAGATTGGGAACATGAATCGATGGATGTTAGACTAACATTGGAAACCTGGAAGAAGTGGATGTATGTTTCTTTTAATCTCCACAACCCTACACTGATAGTTAGATTTTAGTTTAATAGATTGCTGACTTATAAAATACGTAAGTGATAGTTATTTATATACTATGTATTATTTGAAAATATTCATTTTTGAGTCAAATATTTTGCATGTAATTGTTTCCTTTCGCTAAAATCAAAACAATACATCTTGAAAAGCAGCTGTTCTGTCATTTGACATCTGCTTGTTGAAGGTTTGGTTTCGGTAATTCGGGTTTTGTCATCAATTATCAGTTCATTACACTGTTTGTATGAATTCAGGTGGTCGATCTTACACTCACACAATAATAATCGTAATAATAATAATACAAATTCTCATCTGTGACAAGAACCACATTCTATTTGCTTTGGGTCGTTCTGTAATAAGCTATCCAGTTCTCTGAGGTAATCAGTGTTTGTCTAATTGATGTCTGTTCATGATATTCACTTAAAGCTTCAATCAACACTGTGATCGCATCGAAATTTACTTTTTACTCCAATGTTTTTATATCAAGAGATAGTTTAAATTAGTTATCGAACGATCTGTAATTTCGCGGGTGAGTTTCAGGCTTACGTGATGAAAAACTAAGATTGTAATAGTCGAAAGTTGAAAATATTCAGGCAAGACAATAATTACTACTAACAATATATGTGGATGATGCAATTCACATAAAGCGAAATCTCCAGTCATATGGAGAAACTAATCAATATTCGAAGTCTTTCACATTTCAGCAATGATAACAAATAATAAGTTTTAATGTGAATTCATATCAAGAGAAATATTTTATGAACAACGAGAAAACAAATTATCCTCAATCAAACCAGCTCAGCAATCATCCATCAGCCATTTCGAAACAATTACTTGTTCGTGAGTAACCTAATCATAGCCCCCGAATGCCCTGGTACGGCCGAGAGTGGAGAGAGTCCGCTCTCCCTCTCGAAATGCTCCCACATGGCTACGCGTATATAGCCTCTGCCAGGGAAGTCCTACTCACTGCCTTCTCGTGGCGGGGGTGTTGTTTACGAAAATGAGAGGACGAAAAGCGAATGTCCGGCGCTTTAACCGGATCCCAAATCAATGGTGTACATGGGCTCCAGTATCCTGAAGGAACAAATGGCGTATGAATCAATCGTTGGTCACCGGCTACCATGGGACTGCATCTCCTTACGATGCTCCACTGCCTTGTGGGTCAGACGCCCAGGTCGAAGGCTCCGGGTGTGACCCCCTAAGAAAACCACCTGCTTCGGTTTGGGCACCCGGGCAGTATCACAGCCCTCACACAAACCAATTGAGATTCGTGTGGCGCATATGTATTTGGTGCCTCCTTGTACCAATATCTATGTGTTAAAATAAATAATAAGTAAGTAAATAAATCTAATCATAACGTTATACACACATTTCACTACAGCCTGACAACACTGGTCATAAGGATGTCTCAATATTCGAACATCAAATCGCAAATAAATATCACCATTCAAAATGCACATTGTAGTTAAATTATTATTTTATTTTCATTTATCAACATATTATGCAATTAATAATAATTAATGAATCTGAATACAGTTTGAAATGACTTAATATCATCTTATTTGCATGTGGAAGGACACGAACATCCACACGTACACCCTGAACATTGGCATTGACCAGATGGACAATCACATCCTTTGCCCGATGCACATCCAGAACAGCATTTGCAGCTTCCACTACCACCACCACAACCTTCAATTTAACAGAGAGAATAAACATTTAATGTTAATTACAACTGTGATGAATGATTTCTGGAGAATGTGGATAGACGATGATGATGCCACACAACAACAACCTTACCTGGCATGATTATTCTTACTATGAGAGTTTAGTGTATAATTTGTCCGAAGTATCGTCCGCTTATATACATTTTCATTTTCTATGCTTCATATGTGATAAACGCATAGGAAAATGAACCAATAAGAATTGCGATACTTTTCACATTGCATCACAGATTGGTTGAAATTATCAGAAAGAAGACTAGTGTTTAGACAGAAATGGTAGACTGGAAAATAATGAAAAAATTGTTGTTGTTTGTAGTGGATGAGAAACTCATTATTTTATCATAACCGCTTGACTGTAATTGTAAAACACGGTTTGTTAGATTGTCATCACCCATTATTATAACTGTGGATTTCATTTCCCTTGAGATTCATTGTATGAATCACTGTGTTGTTTGCTCTAGCAATATCCCTTATGTTTATCCACATCGATTTGTATTTGTTTCAGTTCACACAACATATGATAGTAGTTTGAGCACAATTTTATTTTGAATGTCTGATTCGACTACATCATCTAGATTCAATAGCAGGCAAATTTTCTCGATAATATTCAATGTTATGATTGAAATTCTAGAACACATTATTGACGATACTTTCCGAAGTTAGTATCAATACGAGTTGATAACTACTTGTCCTCACTGTCTTTGTGAACAAATTTTACTGCTTACTACAAATTTCCTAGTTGTCCGCATGTTTCAGAAAATCCTTGAAGTTGTTATCAACCACATGGATCATGCTTCTCCAGTTTACTTGTTTATACAGCTTTGCATAATACTTAGTACATGTCAACCTGGAAAAGTTGCATTGAAAGCTCTGTTGAGAATAGATCAGGATGCTGGCGTGAGTAGTCGCGCACAATACTACAGGTTCTCCATCTGTTTAGTTTACTTTGAAACTTACATTTAGACAAATATCTGATAACCTGTGAGCACGAAGCTTGTATTGACCTCGTGAAAAGAATACATATCGTTTTCACTTCAGTTATATGAGAATAAGGGAAATTTGAACACCGTAATGTTATCATTAACATCTTCGGAAGAAATATTCGAATATCTGAAGGAAACTTGTCGCAGAAATTGTGAGGGTC